TTGGGGTAAATTTTCTGGAGCCAAGCAGAGAACAGGCTATATGAGCAATACTAGACCAGGTATGGTGCAATGAGATAGGATTAATTATTGACTGAATGGTGAAGGCGCCTTAGGGAGCAGTGATCATAATATGATTGAATTTTACATTCAGTTCGTTGGATAAAACAACTGGATCCAGGGGGCTGGTATTTTAAACTTAAACAAGACCAGTTGTGAAAACATGAAAACAGAGCCAGCTGAAGTGAACTGGCAAATTATGTTAAGGACAGTTCAATGGAGATGCCTTGGTGGGACATTTAAGGGGATATTCCAGAACACACACATTCTAACAAGGAAGAAAAATTCTAAGGGGAGGAAGCACCATCTGTGGCTCACTACAAAAGTTAAAGGTAGTATGAAACGTACAGTCATCAGGGGTCCTAATGAAGCAACCCATCTCGTGCCCATTTCTTCCACACTGCCAGCTATTGAAAAGGGTCTGATGCCAACTCATCATTTTCCCCATCGATCCCTTTACCAGGCAGCACCTGCCACCCATTTTTTTTAAACCTGAAATGGTCTTTGGAAAGGCTGCAACATTTTTTGTCCCCACCCCACATAGTCACTTCCCCCAAAACCCTTACCAAGGGTCTTTTAAGGACTATTCACTCACACTATTTCTTGAGAGATTGACCTTCAATTTGAGAGAGGGCCTCTGAGCTCTCTGCTCTGCAAATGGCTGTCTTTTTGGCATTGTTATAGAGTCATAGAGTTAGAGAGCACAAAACAGACCCTTCAGTCCAACACATCCATGCCGACCAGATATCCTAAATTAATCTAGTCCCAGTTCCCAGCATTTGGCCCATATCCCTCTAAACCCTTCCCATTCATATACCGATCCAGATGCCTTTTAAACGTTGTAATTGTACCAGCCTCCACCACTTCCTCTGGCAGCTTATTCCATACACACACCACCCTCTGTGTGAAAATGTTATCCCTTAGATCCCTTTTAAATCTTTCCCCTCTCACCTTAAACCTATGCCCTCTGAAATCCCCTACCCTGGGGAAAAGACCTTGGCTATTCACCCTCTCCATTGCCCCTCATGATTTTATAAACCTTTATAAGGTCACCCCTCAGCCTCCGACACTTCAGGGAAAATAACACCAGCCTATTCAGCGTCTCCCTACAGCTCAAACCCTCCAACCCCAGCAACATCCTTGTAAATCTTTTCTCAACCCTTTCAAGTTTCACAACATCCTTCCTAAAGCAGGAAGACCAGAATTGCACACAATATTCCAAAGGTGGCCTCACCAATGTTCAGTACAGCCACAACATGACCCTCCCAACTCCTACACTCAGTGCACTGACCAGTAAAGGCAAAGGGTGGCTGCTTGCACAAATTTTGACTTTGGCTTTTTAAAATTCAGTGACCCCCTGACAATGCCTGAAGGGAGCAGCCTGCAAGTCCTGACAGAATGCACTCATTATGTCAGCTCAAGAATATTAACGTATCAATCAGCAATTTCTGCAAGATTCACACGTTTTTGAGATTCCAGGTCTTTCACATAATTGCGTATGAATCTCTGACTCTTATCTTTTGATTGATGTTAGCAGAAGTGACCTCCCGTTTGCTGCAATTTCATTCATCTTATGTTTTCAGAATTTTACAAAATTGGTATTGGGTTTGCAAATCTTTTGCTGAGTGAGCACTTCCTCAATGTGGATCAGCGCGTGTGAATCTTACTTGGCACCCTGTCTGGATGTAACTTCTTCAATATCATATAAGGTGCCCTGAAGTGGCTCACCGATGCCTCAATCAGCCCGAAAGCCATGTTTGGCAGTGCCCCAGCTTTGGGTGCCAAGTGTGAGCTGCTCTTATTTCGCTCAAGACCTGTGCCACTGCTTACTGGTTGCCAATGCAAATGGGTCTTGCACTGCCAGCAGGTATCCCCCGAAGTGAATTTGCCCGATTCAACGTCCTCAGAACCCTGCTTAAAGAAAAATGGCTTTTCCGATGCACCAGCTATTGAAGATCCAGATAGTTTTATTATTTGGGCTTCAGCAGAGAATAGATTTGACATGGGGTAAAACTGGCATTCCCCCGATCCGATAGGTTTCCTACCAGGTCAATCAACTTGGAATTCTCCCCTGTGTGTACTAACAACACAGAACTAGGACACGAGCAGACGCAAGTGGACACAGAGACCATTCTCCTGAAATGGGATTCCAGTGATAATGATTGAATTCTATTATCAATGGTATGGAGAGACAATGGTTATGGCAAGATGATGACCTGGTGGCATGATCCGGGGACCTGGGTAAAGTCCCAGGGACCTGGGTTTGAATCTCACCATTCCAGATGGTGGAATTTGAATTCAATTTTTTTAAAATCTGCATTAAGAGACTATGATGACCATGACACCATTGCCAATTGTTGGGGGAAAAAAACCCATGTAATGCCCTTTTCTGAAGGGAAAAAGTGGCAGATGGAGTTTAATTTAAATAAATGCAAGGTGTTGCATTTTGGTAAGACAAACCAGGGCAGAACTTAGACAGTTAATGTGTCATGATTGTAATGAGGTCAGCCAGATGGACCTCATAGAATCTGAGTTCCCTGATTGGGGCTGTTAAGCTGGTCCAATCAGGGAGCCCTGGCTGACAGATATAAACAGGAGTGTCAGAGGTTCTGTTCACTCTGAGAGCTGGCTCTGAGGGAGCTGGATCAGTGTCAAGTACTTTCCACAGAGAAATAAAGGGTGACTTGGTGATGGGATTCCTGTCTCTGTGGAGTTATTTCAGTAGGGACCTAGGGAGTGTTATCGGACAGAGAGATCTAGGGGTGCAGGTACATAGTTCCTTGAAAGCAGTTTCACTGGTAGACAGGGTAGTGAAGAAGGCATTTGGCACACTTGCCTGCATCGGTCAGAGAATTGAGTATAGGAGTTGGGACATCATGTTGCAGCTGTACAACACATCTGTGAGGCCACTTTTGGAAAACTGCATACAAGTCTGGTCACCTTGCGACAGGAAGGATGTTGTTAAACTTGAAAAGGCGCAAAAAAGATTTACAAGGATGCTGCTGGGACTGGAGGGTTTGAGTTATAAGCAGAGGCTGGATAGGCTGGGACTTTTTCCCTGGAATTGGAGGCAGATGGATGAGCTTATTAGGTTTATAAAATCATGAGGGCATAGATAAGGTGAATAGTCAAGGTCTTTTTCCAAGGATAAAGGAGTCCAAAACTAGAGGGTATAGGATTAAGGTGAGGCAGAAAGATTTAAAAGGGACCTGAGGGGCAACTTTTTCATGCAGAGGGTGGTGCGTGTATGGAATGAGCTGCCAGAGGAATTGGTGGAGGCTGGTACAATTACAACGTTTAAAAGACATTTGGACAGGTACGTGAATAGAAAGGGTTTAAAGGGACGTGGACCAAATGCTGGCAAATGGGATACCTAATCAGCATGAATGAGTTGGACCGAAGGGTTTGTTTCCATGCTGTATAACTATGACTCTATCCTTACCGGGTCTGGCCGACGTGTGACTCAGACCCACAGCAATGTGGTTGAAGCTTAATGCCCTCTGGGTACTGAGAGACGGGCAAAAAATGCTGCTCCAGCCAGTGACTCCCTCATCCTGTAAATGAATAATTAAAAAAAAAGACACAAGTGAAGGACATTGACTAAGTCTCTTTGAGCACAGGTTCAGAGAGACTGATCGCGTTTCTGGTTATTACGTTTACTTCACACATGAAAGCTCTCAGGTTTGAAACTGGGTAGAAACATTCTCAGAATTTACATGATCAGGTCTGATCCAAGTAACATCACTCCCCTTTTTCGGGAAGGTGGTAGCGAAGTGGTAATGTCACAGACCCGAGGAGCAGGGTAATGCTCTGAGTAAATAGATTCAGACAGGACTCTAAAAGATATCGGAAAAGATCAAAGAGAGACCGCTGGGATACTGTGTTGGTAGGTAGGAGGAAGGCACTTGTAGTGCTGCATTCTGCCAAGTAAACCAACTATCAATAAATGGATTTGTGTCTTAGTTTCAGACACCACCATCTGGCTTGGGACCCAATTAACATCCACAACCCAATGTTTAAACGTAGGAGTAGAAATCAACGATTCTAGTTGTGCACATAACACTAGTTTCTAATGCTGAGTGTCTGTATGTGTTTTTTTTAATAGCCACGAGTTGTAGAGCTACATTAGAGAGAAGTGGTTCTTAAATGCCCAGGGTCCCTGATGCACTGTGATGTTTCTGGAAGCACATAGGGACCAGCAATGGAGGTTTCCTTTGACGGTCTGTATAAACATAGGATTTCCAACTCTCAATGGATATGTTCTTGAAGGCTTTTGATTTCCGATATGTTGAAATATAATGGCAGCTCACATGGGGTATCTCAAAGAGAGAGATTAACATCAAGATGGAATGAATACTGAGAGAACAGCAGTGAAAGATCCAGAGTTGGATGGAGTCTTGCTTTGGGATAATTCATATGTTTATCCCCCTTTCTTCATCCCACTGTCACTTGTACCTGCTAAAAGATTTGATGGTTTCTTCTCACGTCAACCTAAGTTAGAAGCCAGGGAGACAACAAGGTGCAGAGCTGGATGAACGTAGCAGGCCAGGCAGCATCAGACGAGCAGGAAAGCTGACGTTTCGGGTCCAGACCCAAAACATCAGCTTTCCTGCTCCTCTGATGCTGCTTGGCCTGCTGTGTTCATCCAGCTCTACACTTTGTTATCTCAGATTCTCCAGCATTGGCAGTTCCGACTATCTCTTAGAAACCAGGGAGTTTTCCATTCAATGTCCAATCCTTTCAATGTTTCACATTGCAATGCAAAAGGTGAGTGACATGGGCTTAACTTTTAAATGACACCAGAAGTGGCTGAGTGAACCAAGAATTGGCTTAGGAAGGGAAGTTGCACCAGTTCCTCAGGTTAAGGTTAATTTATTTGCTTATTGGTGGCAGAATATGAACTCATTCATCAAGCATTAACATGTGTCTATTCTCCTGCACAGATGAGACCTCCTTCGAAGCTGGTATAAAGGTTCAGATTCATGGCCAGAATGAGCCACCATTCATCGACCAACTGGGGTTTGGAGTGCCACCTGGATTTCAAACATTTGTTTCCTGTCAAGAACAGCGGGTATGAGGAATTGAGATCATACTGTCATTTCAGCCCTTTACTATGAGCTAAGATCATCTTAAAGCCCCTGGAGCTTTGTTTAGGGTCACATTGGGGTATCCCAGCCCAGCTTGTTGCCAATAACAAGTAGTTGAGGGCCATCGACCCATTGAAGCATTGCTACAAACGCGTCCTATTTCCTCAGAATGCTTTTGATCACCCATGCACTGCTTGTAACTGCGCATTTGCTGATGTTTCAGACTTAACCATTCCAAATTTTGGACAAAGATTCTCCCACCCAAACTGTGAATTTGATATTTCTGCCCTAGGTGCTGAATGACCAGCTATCACCGGTATTCTGCCTTCTGACTTCACTATTCATGACTTTTGTTTTTGTTTTGAAAATGAAGTAAACTCACAGGTTTTTCGTTTTTCAGAGAATGCAATAATTTGAATTGAGGCATTTCCGTGAAGAGTGGAGGGAGAATGGATGCTTAGCAAAATGAGGGGGGTCAGCGATGAGGAGTTGAGCTCCAGCACAAAAGCAAGCTCACGCCCCATCTAGTCCATCTATCAGTATCACTCCACTGGACATTTCTAAAGATCCTGAATCCCATTTGTTAACAAGTACTGGTCTGATTTCTTCTTGAAACCCAATGAGGTAATTTATTTCTTCCAGTGTGGGATATGGGTGTTGTTGGCTATCCCAACATTTATTGCTAATCCTGAATTGCCCTTGAACTAAGAGGCTTGCTTGGGCCATTTCAGAGGGCAGATAACAGTCCACCACATTGCTGTGGGTGTGGAGTCACATGTAGGCCAGACCAGGTAAGGATGGCAGTTTCCTTCCCTAAAGGGCATTAGTGAACCAGATGGGTTTTTACAACAAGTGATAGTCACTATTACTGAGTGGCTTTTGTGGAGATTCAGTGAAAATCTCTTGTCTTCTAGTGGGGGGTTACAGGGATAGGGTGGGGGGCTGGGTCTAGGTGGGATGCTCTTTGGTATATCAGTGCTGACTCAATGGGCTGAATGGCCTCTTTCCGCATTGTAGCGATTCAATGATTCTATGATTCTTTTTCAAGAGAGAATATATCAGGATAGTCAAGCTTCTTTTGTGTGTTATACCCTGAACTAATCAATCGTATTGGGCTTCTCTGTGCTCAATTCTCTCTTTACAGCTTCAGGTTCCCAGTATTAACATCAAGCATATGCTAGCTAGGCATAGAATAGTGCAAAATAATACTCTTCTGAGGCTGCTTTTAAGGTACATAGTTCAGGCAATGTCGAGGGAGCTTTTCTCTTTGTCTGACTATACAGTGATGCTGAAATTCAGCGTTTTTTTTTCCTTCTCCAGTCACTAATGTAAGTGAAAAGGTCAGTGCATATTTAGAATGAGAGAATCAATGAGCATCCAAAGGCACACAGGAGTTGGACGAGGTAGGAAAAGGTTCCTTTTTCCAGGACAGAGATCATCGGCCACTTCAAGTATTCCAGTCATAGTGATAAATACTCACGTGACTCAGCTGTAGGATAAGTCATGCACCCACTCTACCCAGATCACGAGTTGGAGCTTGGAGATTAGAAAGGAATTCTATTTTTTTTCTGTATGGACACCATTGCATCTTCGGTCTACATATAAATTGGAAACATTAGATGGGCAAACGTAGCCCAGGCAGGGAGTTCCTAGGATGTTTTCAGGATGGTCTCTTAAAACAGCTTCTTCTAGTGTTGGCCAGAGAGCAGGCAGCATGGTGATCCAGTGCTTACCACTGCTGCCTCATAGCACCAGGCACCCGGGTTCGATTCCACCCTCGGGCGACTGTCTGTGTGGAATTTGCACATTCTCCTTGTGTCTGCGTGGGGTTCCTCCCACAATCCAAAGATGTGCAAGTTAGATGGATTGGCCGTGCTAAATTGCCCATAGTGTTCAGGGATGTGTAGGTTAGGTGGCTTAGCCATGGGAAATGCAGGGATAAGGTAGGGGGGCTGAGTCTGGGTGGGATGATCTTCAGAATGTCAGTGTGGACTTGTTGGGCCAAATGGCCTGTTTCCACACTGTAGGGATTCTAGCCTATACTACACCTGGTCTTATGATCAATTAATAATCCCATCCTGAGGTAGCAGCAATCATAATATGATTGAATTTTATATTCAATTTGAGGGCAAGGGGCGTGTGTCCAAGACTATATTTTTGGAATTTTAATTAAGGGCGATCATGAATGTATAAAAGCAGAGCCAGCTGAAGTGAATTGGCAAATTAGGTTCAGGGATAGGTCAATAAAGAGGCAAACATTTAAGGGGATATTTCAGAACACACAGAATGGACACATGCCAAAGAGTAGGAAAAATTCCAAGGGACGTTTGGACTAGAAATGTTAAAGATAGTATCGAACTTAAAGAAAAAGCATTAAATTGGACAGAATAGAAAAACAGCAAAGAATGACCAAGAAATGAATCAGGAGAGAAAAATTAGAGTCCGAGAGAAAGCTAGTCAGAAATACAAAAACAGGTAGGAAGAGTTTATGAATATATAAAGAAGGAAAGAGTTAACAAAGTGGGCATTAGTTCTGTATAAAGTAAGACTGGAGAATTAGTAATGGAAAATAAGGAAATGGCAGATGAATTGAATGGTATTTTGCATCAGTCTTCACTTTAGTGCATATTAGTAGCATCCAGAAGCAGTGATAAATCAGGAAATGGAAGGGAAGGAGGAATACAGGAAAATTACAATCTCCATAGAAAGGGAACTGAGTAAATTGTTGGAGCTGTGGGCTGACAAGTGCCTGGGTCCTGATGGACTTCATCGTCAGGTCTTAAAAGAAGTGGCTTGTGAGATAGGTAATGTGTTGGCTTTAATTTTCCAAAACTCTGTTATTTTGTGGGGAGGTCTCATCAGAACGCAACTCCTTTATTCGAAAAGGGAGGGAAAGAGAGCAGGAAACAACAGGCCGTTTAGCTTAATGTCTGTCACAGGGAAGATGTTAGAAGGAATAAGTTCTCTCAGAGCAATTAAATAAGTTTGAGGTGATCAGGCAGAGTCACCATGGTTTTGTGAAAGGTAAACCATGTTTGACCAATCTACTGGAATTCTTTGAGGAGCTAACACATGCTGAGGAGAAAGGGGAACCAGTGGATATACTGTACTTAGCTTGTTGGAAGTCACACGACACCAGGTTATAGTCCAACAGGTTAATTTGAAATCAGAAGCTTTCGGAGCGCTGCTCCTTCGTCACCTATGGTAAGTGGTGTGCCACAAGGATCAGTGCTGGACTTCAACTATTTATATAAATGACTTAGATAAAGAGATGGGAGGTAGGTTGCCACATTTGCTGGTGACACAAAGATAGGCAGGAAAGTAAGTTGTGAGGAGGACACAGAAGGTTAGAGAGAGATATAGCTAGGTTAAGTGAGTGGACAAAGATGTGGCATATGGAGTATAATGTGGAAAAATATGAAAATGTCCATTTTGGCAGGAAGACTAAAAAAGAAACATATTATCTAAATAGAGCCCTGAGATATAGAGGGATCTGGGTGTCCTCATGCATGAGTCATAAAAGCTTTGTATGCAGCTACAGCAACTAATTAGGAACTAATAGAATATTGTCATTTATTGTGAGGGGAATTGAAAACGAAAATCGGGAGGATAGGCTTCAGTTATATGGCGCTTGTGAGTCTACCCAACAGAACATAGGTCCAGCAGTGAGGCCCGTTCACTAAGTAAGCCATTTGGGTTTGCATCTAAGCTGTGTTTGATTGGCATGTTATCATGTTACAGCCTCGCTTGTGTATTCCAGCCATTTGACAGCCAAAATAAAAAGCCATTAAAAAGCAAATTCCTGGAAAAACTCAACAGTTGTGGAGAGAGAAAAGCAGTTAGTGTTTCGAGTCCGATATGATGCTTTTTTTGGAACTGATCCAGAAACGTTCTAAAGAAGTCATATTTGACTCGAAACATTAACACTGTTTCTCTCTCTTGCAGAGTCTGACAAACTTGTTTGTTTTTCCAGCACTTCCTGCTTTTTATTTCAGCATCCACAGTGTTTTGCTGTGATTTTAATATCATTTATGAATCATATACTGGTGAGCTAACTAGTTTTAACTGGGATTTTAATATCTTATATGAATCATATACTGGTGAACTAACTGGTTTTTTTCACTGGCTCTTCATCTCGGCAAATTGTGTTTAGGATCAAGAAATCCAAGGCTTTTTCTTCAACACCAGTCTCTGTAGTAATATATTTAACAGCATGGTTCATTGAAATACCCTCTCAGTAATGCTCTGGTTTTATGTTCTTCTTGTTCTCAGCTAATCTATTTACCTCCTCCCTGGGGAGACTGCAAATCTACTCCAATGGACTCAGACTTCTTTGACACTTACAGCATCACAGCTTGCAGAATTGACTGTGAAACTCGGTACTTGGTGGAAAACTGTAACTGTCGGATGGTGCACATGCCAGGTTAGTTGTCATTTAAAGGTGATTTAACAGGTTTGGAGATAAGGTGTCTTGGTCATCGCTATCACCTTGTCATTTCTGTACAAACAAAATCACATTGGAAGGAATTATGACACATGAACTCATCTTATAAACCTCATTACCTTGCCTCAATCTTGCTTTCCACCTCCACTAACGTCTTCTTAAGCCCAACTATTATCACCGCTTTGACTGACCTTATCATCTCATTTCATCCCCAACACTCAGCATCAACCCCATTTGTCAGTCTGGATCCAGATGTTGTGGGGAGAGAGGGAGAAGGAAGACATACAGAGTGCAAGAGGAGAGAGGCGAGGCGGGGAGTGGATGGATGGAGGCAGTGGGTGGGGAAGGAGGAGAAAGGCAGATGGGGTGGAGGGGAGAGAGAGAGACAGGAGGAGAGGTTGAGGCAGAGGGGAAGGTGAGGAGGGAGGAGGAGAGATTGAGGCAGAGGGGCAGGAAGGGGGAGGAGGAGAGATCGAGGAAGAGGGGCAGGAAGGGGGAGGAGGAGAGATTGAGGAAGAGGGGCAGGAGGGGGGAGGAGGAAAGATCGAGGCAGAGGGGAAGGCGAGGAGGGAGGAGGAGAGATCGAGG